GGTGAGATGGAGGAGATGGGGTGATGCGGATAAGCAGATCTTCCAGGGAATTGCTCATAAGGGACAGCACAGTGTGATTAGGGACTGCAGGCCCCCAAGGACAGTGTGACTAGGGAAGGAGGGGCCCCCAAGGCTGTTGCTGCTTTTCTTGGGCCTTTGGGTGAAATGGGAAAAGATGCCCCTGGCTGGAACAAAGTGGTGCCAGTGGAAAGCATGTGAGGCAGACAGCACAGCAGCGTGTGGTTTGGGGAGTGAGGGCTACCTCCCCTATCCTTGGAGCTAGTGATTTTTTCTAGTGCACAAACCACCAAACTCACACAGCGGGTCTGTGCTCAGACTGGCATTTTACTGGAGGGCCATGAGAACACGACTCTTGTCTAGTCTGTGCATAGGTCCATCTCTAGGTGTAAGCCTACCCAGTTTGGTCAACTGGCTTGCCTCTCTCACCTGTCTACTGGTAGCTTCCTCTGTGCATCCCCTAGTCCCTAAACATGAGAATAATGTCCAACGAATACCGCTGCTCATGCTGTTCTTATGTAGGCTGCAGAAACCTTATGCCCCCGGCCCCGGAGGTCCATTTTATTATTTTTATTTGTTTGGATAGGTATATGTGGTGTGTATGAAGGTGAGTATGCATTGTCATGTGTGTGGGTGCATGTGTGGGTGTGTATATGTATACACTTATATGTGTAGGGCTGAAGTTGATATCAAGTGTATTCCTCAATTGCTCTTCACTTTATTTACTTATGTCCGGCTTGCCCAGACAGAGAATCCTGTCTCTCAAGTGTTGGGAGCCACTGTACCTGCCCAATTTTCTTTCTTTATTTTTTTATAACATTATTTTCTATATGTATGTGAGAGAGAGAGAGAGAGAGAGAGAGAGAGAGAGAGAGAGAGAGAGAGAACAACTTATTGGAGTTGGTTCTCCTTCCACCCCGTGCATTGTGGGGGATTGAACCCAGGTCCTTAGGTTTGGTAGCAAGTGCCTTTATCCACTGAGCCCTCTCCCCAGCCCCTACCCAGTCTTTCCATAGACTCTAGGATCTGAACTCTGGCTCTCACACTGGTAGGGCTTTATTCACTGAGCCATCGTTACAACCCCCTGAAGGTCCATGTTAAACATATTCTTTCCGAAGCCATTTCTGACTTCCTTGAGTGAATCTCATTTCTTGCTGAACTATAGACAGAAAAGTATATTTATGTGCATATGTTTATTTTCTTGAAAATTATCTGCCTCTCTTACCAGAATGCAAACACATAGTTCAGATGCTCCAGGTCTGGGACACAGTGGGTGACTGGTAAGTGTGGTAGATGAATCAATGGGTGAATCAAGGAAGAGAGAGCCCTTATCTTGCTCTGGATTGTAACAGTCCATTGCAGAGATGATTAGCACAGCATTAGAGACCAGTAGAGTACAGACACCCTTCAGATGTTGGGTGCAGTCTTGCAGCAGGGGCCAGGAGGTTAGGTCTGGGTCATGGGGAGGATGGGACAATTTGGAGTAGTGGCCAGGGCAGTTGAGGACACTGTCAGGATACAGAGTGGTGGTTCTTTACTATTAGACTGAGGCGTTTGGTATTTTACACTGCTATGGCCTTGTGAAGCTAGTGTGATGTTTCAGCCCAGCATAGCTGGCTTTGATTCTGCAGAGCAATCCTCAGGAAGAGCAGGGCTGAGACTGGGAGGAGATGGTCATGAGGATGAAAGGGAGAGCCAGCTGACTGGGAGGCGCTAGCAGGAGAGGAAGGCCTCTGGCCAAGCAAGGAGTTATCTGATGGTCAGATGTGAGGAGGGATAAACAGGTGTGAAGCTTTCATATCGTGGGAAGCAGGGGCGTATTTACAGCATCCTGTGCTCAGGATGGAGGCAGGTCCAGTGGCTTCCTGATGTTCCAGGCCTTTCTGACCCTGTGATTGTCCTGGGGGTAGGGTGGCCAAGGGATCCTGGAGAGCTGGGAACTTGGAATATTGGGTAAAGTGTTTGCTATGCAAACACAAGGACCTGAGCTTGGATCCTCAGCTCCCACACAAGAGTCAAGTGTGGCGGAGTCCATCTGTAATCCTAGGGTTTAGGGGGAGATTTTGGGTGTGTAGCAGAAACAGGAGGATCCAAGTCTAGCTGAAATGTGAGCTCCACATCAGTGAGAGACTCTACACAAAAAAATAAGTGGAGAGAGATAGGAAATACCCAACCTGTTGCCTCCACAAGATATAAGGGTGAGAGAGCACATCCACATATGCACATATAACACATTATAACACAGAGAGAGAGAGAGAGAGAGAGAGAGAGAGAGAGAGAGAGAGAGAGAGAGAGAGAGAGAGAGAGAGAGAGAGATATTCTGGAGTGGAGATTAGGCCCAGAGGGATGGGACAATGAGAAGAACATCCCAGGGCCTCATATTAGTAGCTATTTACCAATTGGTACAGAATATTTCCACATTTTTCCAAATGGAGAGGCCATACTGATGGTGACCACATTAGTATCACTGGAGGCAAAGACTAGAAGTGGAAATATCACTCTTAAATGGGCACCAGAGGGATTTTTGTCAAAGAGCAAACAATTTTTCATAGCAGTGAGAAGCAATGGCAAGAGCCTGAACCAACTTGATTGTATGAAAATGAGGGAACAGACCTCAGTAAGATTCTAATTAGATAAGAGAAGTTCTAAAAATGTCAGGATAAAAGAATAATTAAACTATGTATACACACACACAAACACATGTATGTGCACTTATATAGATATTTCCATGTCTGCAGTGGAAAAGCACAGGGTTACACCAGTGTAAAGCACTTAAATGTCCCAGTGTCTAACAGTGATAAAAATAGTGACAAATTAGTGCATTTTTAAAAAACCAATCACAGAACTCACAAGGCAGATACTGTTTTCATCTCCAATTTAGACACATGTGTGCTGGTATTGTGTTCCCCAAAATATTGTGTACCCTAATAAACTTATCTGGGGTCAGAGAACAGAAAAGCCATTAGATACTTAGGATAGGCAGTGGTAGCACACACCTTTAATCCTAGTATTCCAGAGGCAGAAATCCATGTGTTCAAGGATACAGCCAAGCATGGTGACTCACGCCTTTAATCCCAGAAAGTGAGCCTTTAATCCCAGGGAGTGGTGGTAGAAAGCAGAAAGGTATATAAGGCATGAGGACCAGAAACTAGAAGCATTTGGCTGGTTAAGCTTTCAGGCTTCTAGCAATAGTTCAGCTGAGATTCATTTGGATATGAGGCTTCCAGTCTGAGGAAACAAGATCAGCTGAGAAGTTGGCCAGGGGAGGTTAGATGTGGCTTGTTCTGTCTCTCTGATCTTCCAGTGTTCACTCCAATAACTGGCCTCAGGTTTGATTTTATTAATAAAAACTTTTAAGATTCCTGCTACACACATGGAAATGGAGATTTAAAAAGTTTGAATGACTAATTCAGTCCCATATGCACCCAAGAATCAAGTCTTGTTCTTCTGGTTCCTAATTCCAGTGTTATTGGTTTTTTTCATCAAGTGAGTTGATAAATGCTAGATTTTCATTTTCATCCAAAGATTTTTAGGTGAGAATTCCTGGGTGACATCTTCAATGTGGAGAAGTCCAGCCAGCACCAGGAGATTTTCAAGCATTTCTGTGTAACCCTCTTTTATATTTTCTTGGGCACAAATGGAGTTTTAAGTTCCCCTCCAGAGGTAAAAGCTGCCCCCGCCCCCTTGCCTAAAGGAAGTGTCTGAATCGGTGTACTTTGATGGTGATTCAGGAACTCAAATTGTGTGTAGAAAAACATATTTTTCCTCCAGACACCTTCTGAGAGTATTAAACTACTGAAGTTGAAAGGGCTGGCTTGTCCATACCTTTCGGTGGGATTGTTGCCTGGGATGATGATTTATGGGCACAGGAGGACGGCAGCTCTGACAGGCAAGACGATGACTGAAGAGGTTAAGTCATTTGTCTGACAAGTAGGGGCAGGGTGAGCCGCCGCCGCTCAGGGAAGGGATCCAGCACTCCCAAGCCCTCCTGTTACCTATTTTGTTGCTTCTCAGGAACTGTTTCTTTCTAAGACCCAGAACCTCCGTAGCAATATTTCCTTGCCAACACAAAAGAGAAAAAGGCCTCTAGATTAAATGGTCTGGCTGTCCCAAACACCAGGATAATAAAACACCAGTGCAGTTTAAAGAATTTCTGGAGACTAACAGCTCAGCTTCCCACTGCTGTTCCTGGCAAGGCCTTCAATGGATGTGGAAACCCTGATTAGGGGAGTGGGGAGTGAGCCAAACACAGCATTCTAAACAGAGGCACACGCTGAAAACTTGAGTTCAGCAGGTTTGAAGATGTCTCCACTAGGGTATCCCAACATATTGGTTAGAGAGAGAGAGAGAGAGAGAGAGAGAGAGAGAGAGAGAGAGAGAGAGAGAGAGAGAGAGAAATTTGTAAAAGTATAAAGGAAATACAGGCAGAATTGGGAAATCTTTCAAGGGATTCTATCCTTACATCGTAGTACAGCAAGATTTCCAGGGACAGGGGGCCCCGAAATTTCCTGCCAAGTCGTTCCTCTCCAAACGTGGAGCTTAGTACTGACAAGTTCAACTGTTCGGACGAGTGGGAGAGCAGGTTTGTGGTGACAGGATCTAGGTCGCCAGTGTGGTTTGAAATGGCTCCTTAGTCCTAACACAATGACTGAGGGACAAGAGAATTTTCTGCCACTTGCCAGCTTTCTCTCTGAAATAAAACAAACAGCCAAAGACCCAAACTCCGTGCCACTCTGAACCAACTCAAGTCAGATGTGTCATCCAGATTGATACTTCCCTCTTTTTAGGGCCCTTCAGCCTTCCCTAGGAGGGCTCTGGGGGAACAGCTATGACAAACACACACAGCATGAGAAACCCTAGACAGACGTCAGTAAGAATTCAGAATGCATGGCAGCTGACTACTCGGTGTCACGTCTGCCTGGAAGGTCCCCATCCCGAGCTCCTGGGCTAGCAGAGACCTGAAGTTTGTTTGAGATTCTTACCTCAAGATCCAGAAGTGTCCAAAGTTGGGGCGTACCTCCGATTCCCTTTGCCTTTGAAGCAGGAGTGTTCTCTACCTTGCGCCTTGAACGAAGCTGCTGAAACGTCATGATAATTAAGTCTGAGTCATCTCAGCCATGAACTTTTTTTTTCAGATGACTCTTTCAAAATGTGATACATAGTTGCTTCACTACAATTACCCAATGGCATGAATGAATACTAGTCTCTATCTAGATGAACAGACAAGGCCACCCATGCAATCATTACCTTCCTATAACACATGTGTGTTCTTATGAAAGTGTGGCTATTTAACCGAAATGATTACAAAAGGGATTCTGATCTATTTTTAAAAGGTGTTAATTCTTATTGAACTGACTCAGGATGTAGCTCAGAAATAGAGTGCTTACCCAGTATGTCCAAAGCCCTGGGTTCCACCCCCAGCATCATGGAGGAAAATGGAAATACTGAGTTGGAAAAGGAGGAAGAATCTCCTTTTCTGGGACAATAAGCCAGGTTGGGTGTCTGCTCTACTACTGCATAGGATATCTTTTGGACTTCAGGTGGATCAAGAGACTCAGTCTGAAAGCATGTGGCTTGATAACCAGCCTGGCCTAGTTAGCATCTTTATCATTCAAGGCAGGACCACAGATGGCATCTCTGAGCATTTGCTCCTTTTCAGAATGCTATAATGACTTCCTGTACCAGCATTTCTTTGACACAAGTTGTATGTGTTTATTAGCCGCTCTATCTCTCTGGTTTATATGATTTAGCTAATGTATTTGTTTTTTTCTTTCTTGCAACTGATCTCTCTGTGTAGCTCAGGCTGGCCTCAAATTTACAATACTTTCCCAAGTGTGAAGACTCCAGGCATGCACCATCACATTTAGCTAGTTAGTGAATTTTAAATGACTAGGGATTGGACTGCATGATATGTCATAATTTACCTACATTAAAAATGTTTAGGGTAAGAAAGGATTACTATCTCAGTTTTTCTAGGATGTGTATTTTCAGTACTAAAGTAAGGACAGCTTGGGCCAAATCAGGATGTCTAGTTTCTCCAGCGAGAACAGCAGGCACGTTCACTTAGCAATATCCCCGCTACTGATGAGGTTGCGAGTTTATCATAAAAATACCCTGGTTACCTCCTTAACTTTATTTTTTATCCCTGGTAAAATGGGGTTCTGCCTGAATGGGCTCTGTGCATCAATAGGAAACACTGATAACAAGGGAATATGCTGTTAAAGCTGTAAAATTTGAGTGGCCTTGTCAATGGCAAAATGAGCCTGGAGACAAGTCATCATAGACAAATCCACTTATTCAATCAACAAACATTTATCAAGGGCTTACTGTAGGCAAAGGTCTCCTTAGGAGAAAACACAAAGGGAACACTGGCTAAGACGGAGAAACCTTCTAGCAGACAGAAACAAAACCACACAAACTATAGCATGCACTATTCTGTGGTCTGGATGCCGAATGTCCCCTTGCAGTATTAAAAACTGCATTGTCAGTGTGGCATCATGGTGGTGCCATTTCTGAGTGGTGGGATCTCACGGGAAGTTCTTAGGTTATTGGAGATACACTGCTGGAGGGGACTGGGGACCTGGAATTCTCCCCTTTATGCTCTTGTTTTCTTGACACCAGGTGAGCAATTTTCCTCCACTACAAACTCCTGCCACGTCACAGGCCCAAGTCAATGGTGCCAAACTGTCACAGAGTGGCACCTTGAAAACCACGAGTCAAATAAACCTGTATTTTTTATGACTTAATTGTCTCAGGTAATTTTTTACAGTGATGGAAAGCTGACTAATGACACTATGAAGGAAATAAGGGAATGTAGCGGGTGAGGTAACCTTATAATTGGTAGAGTGATGTAGCTGCAGGAGGCCAGCTTGTCAGGATGGTCCAGGCTGGCTTCTATGAGAGGTAATATGTGACTTGAACTCTGACTATTAGAAGTCACTGAAGGGAAATAGTGGGGAGGGACCAAGAAAAGTGAGTCAGTGGAACGGTGTGAGGATGGGCATAGTGGTAGGCAGAGTGATGCTGATGAGAGCCATGGATGAGGATGGGCACAGTGGTAGGCAGAGTGATGCTGATGAGAGCCATGGATGAGGATGGGCACAGTGGTAGGCAGAGTGATGCTGATGAGAGCCATGCATGAGGATGGACATAGTGGTAGGCAGAGTGATGCTGATGAGAGCCATGGATGAGGATGGGCATAGTGGTAGGCAGAGTGATGCTGATGAGAGCCATGGATGAGGATGGGCATAGTGGTAGGCAGAGTGATGCTGATGAGAGCCATGGATGAGGATGGGCACAGTGGTAGGCAGAGTGATGCTGATGAGAGCCATGCATGAGGATGGACATAGTGGTAGGCAGAGTGATGCTGATGAGAGCCATGGATGAGGATGGGCATAGTGGTAGGCAGAGTGATGCTGATGAGAGCCATGCACGAGGATGGACATAGTGGTAGGCAGAGTGCTGCTGATGAGAGCCATGGATGAGGATGGGCATAGTGGTAGGCAGAGTGATGCTGATGAGAGCCATGGATGAGGATGGGCATAGTGGTAGGCAGAGTGATGCTGATGAGAGCCATGGATGAGGATGGACACAGTGGTAGGCAGAGTGATGCTGATGAGAGCCATGGATGAGGATGGACACAGTGGTAGGCAGAGTGATGCTGATGAGAGCCATGGATGAGGATGGACACAGTGGTAGGCATAGTGATGCTGATGAGAGCTATGCATGTAGCTTGAATTCAGGGGAGAGGTCTCTGGAAGCGTGAATTTTGAGTCGTCACCCAGAAGTGAAAGACCATCTTGGCATGGGGTCCTAGGATGCATGATGGGAGACAATGCCAATCGTCACACAGATAAGTGCATGAAATTGTACTGTGGTCCTTCTTAGCGCATTAGAAAAAAAATGCAGGAGCAGACACGGAGGATGAATGATGTCACCTATCATATGGAAAAATTTATAAAATACCTCTAAACATTTATGTTCTCTCTTCAGCATCTTCCTAGGGTGGCACCAATAGTTTCTTGGTCCACCTCTCCCTCTTGAAGAGGAATGCAAAATTAGATTCCATGGTTATAGCCATTCCTCAGTGTCTACAGGGTATTGGCTCCAAATGCCCCACAGGTCCTCACATCTTCAGAGAGAAGTACCTTCTATCCAGCAGGATAGCATTTCATATAATCCAACCACATCCTCCAGTATTTTTGTTGTTGTTGTTGTTTGAGACAGGGTTTCTCTGTGTAGCTTTGGAGCCTTTCCTGGAACTCACTCTGTACTCAGGCTGGCCTCAAACTCACAGAGATCTGCCTGCCTCTGCCTCCCGAGTGCCTGGCCCTCCAGTATTCTTTAAATCATCCCTGGATTACGTGGACTGCAGAAGAACATGTAAATAGTTGCTCTACTGTGTCATTGTGGGGACAACAATAGTAAAGGTCAGGACAGAGGCAATTTTTCCAAATACCTTTGAACTAAGCTGTTGCTTGAACTGATAGGTATGGAAACACAGATAAGAGGGCCACGTGCAGCTTTTATAGCTACCCTTTATTTGAAAATTCACAGATGCTTTCTTTCTACGTGACATTTCCCTTTTAAGGAAATTTGCAAACATCTTAAATGAATAATATATGGCTGATAAAGACATAACACCCTACAGCTCCCATGAAAGGTAGAATAATTTTTTTAAGTGGCTCAAACAATTGGAGTTTTGTTTTATTTATTTATTTATTTATTTGTTTGTTTGTTTATTTATTTATTTATTTATTTATTTATTTATTTATTTATTTATTTGTTTATTTATTTATTTATTCAAGACAGGGTTTTTCTGTGTAGCTTTGCACCTTTCCTGGAACTTGCTTTGGAGACCAGGATGGCCTGGAACTCACAGAGATCCGCCTGCCTCTGCCTCCCGAGTGCTGGGATTAAAGGCGTGTGCCACCACCGCCCGGCTGCCAATTGGAGTTTAAAAAACAAAAGTCAGGAGGGAAAGATGAGCAGTAGGCAGAGGTTCAAGTCTGGTGGCCTAAATTCAGTACCTGGAACCTACGCAAAGATAGGAGAGGACTGACTTCTCCAGGTGGTCCTTGATCAGCCACACATCCTGTGGCATGACCCCCACCCCCCCACCCCCGCCCACACAGGGTTTCACTAACAGTTCCGGCTGTCCTAGAACTCACTCTGTAGACCAGGTTGGCCTTGAACTCACAGACATCCACTTGCCTCTGCTTCTCCAGTGCTGGGATTAAAGGCATGCACCACTATCACCTGGCTATAAATAACAAGTTTTAAAAGGTCTAAGAAAGGGAGAAATTGGCTTCACTGCTTTTAGAAAGGACGTTTGAAATGGGCTCAACTAGTTTTCTACTCTGTTCAAGGAATCATTTTAAGGCAAAGCTTCCAAGTTCGTCAAGAAAACAACAAAAGCCAACAGTACTCTATCCAATTCCATCATTTTTTGGTTTCCACATTTAAGTGAAAAAAAGTTGCCGGTAATTCCTGTTTATTCAAACTACTCATGGTTGTAATCTAAAACACAAGATTGCTTATCTCATTTACTAATGCTGACAGGGCTTTGGTCTTTTCAGATCAAGGGATCCTTTGAATTAATGCTCCAGAAGGAAGATAATAATTAACTATGTAGAAATAATTATTTGTTAAAGAAAGATGCCAAGATCCAATGCAAAGGAATTAACCATTCTCTGTCCTTGGTTTCTAGAATATGTGGCATGTAGAACTTTGTGCTCTGAGCAAAGCAGTCAGCATTGTTATCAGATCAGCTGTGCATGCTTGAAAGAGTAAATCTGTTGACTGTTCCTCAGAGGAGGGAGTTGGGGAGGATCACTGGACCTTCAGTTGAGGTTCCAGCTGTCCATCAGTGCTGGAGGCCGTGGGAGTATACAGCCGGTGACAACTAGTATTCAACAGGTCGACCACCAAATGAATAACTCTCTGATGGGGAGCCCCACTTGGCAAGGACCATGGGGTCACTGATTGTAAATGACTGGTTGTTTCCGTCTGTAGTTTTTCTCATGTGCCACTACATTTCTTCCCTAAAAACAGCTATGGGTGTTTTCCCACTGC